TATATATATATATATAAAATAAAAAATAGACTATAGTTACCATGTTAATCTTGTTACTCTTAATGCTTATCTTAATTATTTAACTGTAATTACCTATAAATGACTTAATTGTATAAATAATTTAGCGGTAATTACCTATAAATGACTTATGAATTTATTCTACATTATCAGTCCATGCACGGAACTTATATTTATTTTTTATTGTATTGTAGTGGTAACAAATTATTAAGAAATGTGTAATTTGCAGGTGGTCTCTAATAGCAAAACATTTACCACATAGAACAGATAATGAGATAAAAAATTATTGGAATTCTCGTTTGAGCCGAAAAGTAGAAAGCTTAAGGATTCCAAGTGATGAAAAGTTGCCACAAGCTGTTGTCGAATTAGCCAAAAAAGGAACACAACAACAAATTATCAAACATAGACGAAAAGGGAAAACTAAAATTAGCGGTTCGAATTTCAGAAGTGAAACTATAGTCCACATTACGTCATCAACGCCAAATATGGAGAAAGAAACCATAAATACCATTCCCAATGGCGATAGTAATGCAATGGAGTTCTATCATAACGATGATCAAATGTTGTGGCATGACGATATTATGCTAATGGACGATAAAGAAGCAGAGTTGGACCAAGATTTCATTTTCAATTGTTTATGGAGTGGCGAAGAAGAAAATCTTGAAATAAACGACAATAACAATAATAATTATAATAATGAAATATTAAATGTGGATAATCATGGTACCCTTGATGGTTGGGATTGGGAATATTTAGGTGAAATGTTGAATAGAGAATAACAATATGTCAAATATTTCATTATTAGACATTAATAATGACTCCATGAATGAAGAAGCAACGGTTGAAAATATTGATCCCATGCATAGTGATTTGGTAGCTTGGTTTTTGTCTTAATATCTAGTCATTATTTTCACTCCAATTATGTATATATATGGATGAAAAATAAAAATTGTCTCTATTTTTTTTAATTTATTTTTTAAATAAAGGTTGTGCCGGCAAGTTTTCTTTTTATTTTTAAAAAAGGTAAAAAAATAATGTGTTTGCATGTAATTTTTTAAAAAATAATGGTGGTATCTAAATAAGTTTGCGCACATCTTGATTATTTTACGAGATATTTATTACTTTTGATATATATATATATATAGGGAGAGAATATATATTTATGTCTACTAAAACTTAAATAAAGCACAAATATAATATTATTATTATTTTCATCCCCTGTGAGCCACTTATTATTTCTCAAAATAAAATATTAAATCATTTTCTGTATATAAATTAAAGATATGGAGTGTATGATTTCGTCAATTTAAATTTTAACCTAAAACCTTATAATGATCGATCTCCCTAGCTACGTCATGAACATTAAATTGCACCTTTAAGTGAATAGTGCGAATAATGTGTATGTTATTTAATAAGATGTCAGCTACTCTATATAAATTAGGGGCGGGTAAAAAGCGAATCGATCTATAAATTGAATAAAAAAATATTATTGAATTATTGGGTTAACGGACTTTAATGTTATCGGTTTGATATTGGTTTTTAATATTGGGTTATTGGATAAACCGATAACCTATTAAGACTAGTAATTTACTACTTTTATTTGTACATAAATATTATATATTAATCCCAATATCTTACTAGTTATTGTCTATCTAGGCTTCAATTCACACTTCACAACTTCACATTATACAAAATGTCAAATCTAAAATAAAAATCATATTTAACTTGATTTATCTTTGTGTTACACTTGTATAATTCTTTTTCATGTTTGTTGTTATTGTTTCTATATGAGCATTTGTAAAGTTATATTGTTGTATTGTCGCGTCAAATTTATTAGAGAAGTCATATATTGTTTGTATTTTATGAGCATTTGTAAAGTTACATTATATATTGTGTTGTCGCGTCAAATTTATTAGAGAAGTCATATATTTGTTTTATAAGTATTTGTCTTAATGGTCAAATCAAAAAATCGAACCGTTAAGGATCAAAACCGATAAATCGAAAATTGATTAAAAATATCTAATTGGTTTTGGTTATAAGTTTAATTTATTTAAAAATCGGAAACTAATAAATAAAATCGATAATACATAAAATCAAATTGAACCAACCGATGTACACCATAACGTAAACACACATGCACCTTTAACCCATTCGCGGGTGACGCGCTTCCAACAGGATTTTCTCCATACCCAGAGCTCGAACTCGAGACCTCTGATTAAGGGTGAAGGACTCCTATCAGTGCACCACAACTCATATTGGTTGGATCTTCAATTTAATTAATACACATATTCATGTATAGTAAAATTTAGTTATAACAAAAGAGATCTGGACCATTTATTTATTATTAATGGGACACGTATATTAAATTGAAGGAGTACAATTTGTTTTAAAAATTCTTACCTCCATTTATTTCTTAGATATTGTATATTTCAAAAATTTATATACATGCAGAAAAAAATGAAGCCCCACTCAGATCAAAATATAAATTTTATTTATTCAAATAACAATTAAGGTAAAGCAGGCTGATCCAAAAATTTCATTGACAGTATATACCTTTCGATAGTATATGTTATAAAGTTTTGTTATATCTACTACTTATATATTAGCGTGGATAACCACACATGTGATGGTCAACATCATTCCTACATCACCTGTGTTCTTCCACACTTACATATATATATATATTTGCCTACTTTTTTCTTCCGTTTTAATTTATTTATCTTATTTTTAAATTTTATTTATATTTTTGAAAATTGCGTAAAAAAATACTATATTTCATGATAATTGACTACTTAAATTTTTTTTAAAAATAAATTTGATTTCTTATAAAAAATATGATTTATTCATAAAATTAATCTATTTGTGTCACATAAAATGGGACAAAAGAAGTAACATGTATTTTAAATTTGAAAACTACGTAAAAAGTATTGTAATCTCAATAACAAAAACATTTGATTAACTCTTGAAATTCTTTTGTGCTACATATATTGGGACAAGAGAAGTAACATATATATTATTTAAAAACTGTATAAAAAGTACTATAAATTATAATAATTAACAACTTAAAACATTTAAAAATCATATTAAAATTTAATTAACTCTCTAAATTTTATCTATATTACATAAAGTGAGACAAAAGAATAATAGATATTGAATTCATGCTAGCACGAGCACTTATGTCTAGTCTAATATATAACTGGTAGGGGTAATAATTAAGTTGTCTAATCGGCAATCAGTGAGATGATACACAAAATAATAAGGGAGATCTGCATAATTAAATATTACAATAAGCATCATTATTATCATTCTTTTAAGAATAGTAGTGTTTGGATCAATTTGAGGACATTTCGTTAATTTTATAGTGTCTTTAATATCTTTCATCAAGATATATATTTTTTCTGTCCTAATTTATGTGACTTACTTTCCTTTTTAATCAATCCATAAAAAAAATGACACATTTTTATATTAAGTAATGATTTAACTTTAAAATGTTCATTTACCCTTAATGAAATTATTTACGGCCACACAAAAATCTATCACATATTTTAGACCACAAGTTTCAATTTTTTTTTTTTTTCAAAACTCAATACTGAATCAGACTAACTCATATAAAATATGACGAAGAGAGTACTAAATAACTTTATCCACCAACTAATTTTAAAAAATGAAAAAAAAAATTATAATATAGACTAGAATAGGATTTAGCCTTTTTTTGGCCCAACTCGTGTAATTACTTTTTCCTTACTTTAGAAATAAAAAAGAAGTGATAAAAAAGTTATTATATATATGTCCACTAGACATAGTCATACAAGTTGAAGAAAGACTTGCAAAGTATATAGAGAAAATAAGTAAATGTCCCAACTTTTCCAACCACTAGTCTAACAAGGAATTTGTAGCTACACTAATAAAAATAAATACTATATGTCAGATTGAAAAGTGTTTAGTGACTACTTAAATATATATTATCGAATCATGAAAAAAAATAGTAAAATTTTCATATAAATTTTTTTAGAATTTTTGTCACTATTTCAATAAAAATCTATATTCTACTATGCATTCTTTCAAAAAGAGTTGATTTGATGGCGAAATGAATAGAAAAATTATATTCTACAACACAATTTTTTACTGATTCATGAAGAAAAACCTTTATTTCTAGCCGTATTATGAAGACCTATATATAAAAAAAGAACTTAGAAAAAGATGATAAGAATTTCCCTTTTAATGTGTGAAACATAAGATGTGGTTAAATTTTTGTCGTGTTTACTTTTGAAAAACCTTTTGTTCCTACTCATTTCTTCCCCGTTTTTTCATTAATAACCATCTATTGCTTTCATTTCTAAAATTTCATGGAACGTGTTTTTGTCGTTGTCAAAAATGTACATTTCATACTGAAATTAAATCACTCAACTAAAAATAAATATTTCATATTACATTTTATATAATATCATTTCAATTTAACACACAAAAAGATGTTATTTGTGGGTAAACATTTATCTGCACTGATGTTATCGGAAATTTTTTACTATGGGAGATGTACAACTTGTATTAGTTGTGTGAAGGTATTTTTTATTACAATTATATTTTGATTTATGGGACCCACTTTTGATTTTTATTTCTTTGCCTTTTGTTTCTCTTTCATGGTCTTCTCTTCTTCTTTTTTCTTGTCAGTTTTTTTTTTTTTTTAAAATAAAATATATATATATATATATTTGAAAACCATTCAATTACTCCTTCAATTTTATAATATAAATAAAAATATTTTTTTATGGTTAAATAATTACCTAAGATATTAATTGTCAAATTTAAATACAAATATAATTCATATTCGTATCATAGGATTAAACCATTTTTCATTTATCGTATTTTAAAATTTTCATCTTCCTAATTCATTTCTTTTTAACTTCTACTTTTAGGATCAATTTAAACATAAAAATTATTTACTTTGTTAAAATAATTTATTTTTAACTCAATTTTCACTTTTAATATTGTCTTAAAGTACATTCAAACATGAACATCATTTCGAATATTTTTTACAAAAATCATTTTGAATATATATAAATTTAATTATATTTGTACTTAGCGATTCAAATTTTCTTACAAAAATATTTCAGCAATATTTTTTTTGCCAATTCCTAATATTGAGAGATATATTTTGATAAAATTTTCAATTTAGAAGAAAAAAAAGAAGAAAAATGTTCGAAGTCGAAGAAGAATGATGTCTGGATTTTTATTTTTATTTTTATTTTGGGATATGATGAGCTTAAAGAATAGTGGACCCCATAATTCACTTTATTTATATTATTTAGTATAATTTTATTGGGTCATGCCAATTTTAAATCATATTTTCTCTTTTTTTTTAATGTTTGGAGATTTAAAGTCAAAGAATGGGCCTATTATATCCAAGTGTCAAGGAATTAGTGGAGCCTCACACAACTTTTGTTTGTTGTGCATCTACCATATTAAATTTTTTCATGTTATCGTGGTTTTAAGTAATTTAATAAAGTTAAAAATATAAATTAATTAATACGGTTAAGTGATAACAATTTATATACAAATATATCTCATGTATTTAATTGATTTAGTATAAATTTTCAATGCAGATCAATTTTAACTAAATACTTATCTGCATCGAGTGCTTACACCAAATCAATTTAATTTAACTTATGATAGAAGTTTATATACAAACATATATCATGTAATTATTAATTTGATATAAATATTTGACGCAAATAATTTTTTTATCATACGCATACCTTTTATTGGCCTTTTAAGTATCTCTAAAGAGATTGTTAATTATCTTGAACTACTTTACTCATTATTTTTCTAAGATATCAAAGCTAAACTTTGTGAAACTTATTTTCACAACTATTTATCTTTTATGGTCTAGATTTTCT